CTTACAACTCTCATCGTGAACGAAACGTACACAATGTTGTTGTCAATCGATTGCAGGAGGAACACAGAAATAATGTAGAATCTATACCTTGTGAAGAACGTTTTAATTATATTCAAGAAGTGATGTAAAAGTATAATGAAAGTCCCGATCCAGGCATAGATGATGGTTCTCTTAAGAGTCCGTCTGTTGTGGAATGGGACAGTGATCCTTTGCATTCGGATCATCAAATCCACGTTCCTAGAAGAGTCCCAGACATTTGTCTTGCAATTTGAAAATAACGCATACATATCTGTCGTAAAATCAATAATAACTTCGTAGTATCGTACTACCGAACTAACAACTGAAAATGTGTTAAGTAAAACCAGTGATCGATGAGCAAATATAACTGTACTAGCCATAATAACCACGGAACATATTATTTTAGTATACACACTGTTTGGAGTAATAAAACTATTTTTGATCCGGTATCTTGGAGCAAAGTGGATATTTTGTAAAACAGCTAGCGGTCTGAACAGTGCCAATATATCGGCAAAAATGAAATTTTTAGTTGGAATTTGGACGGCCATCTTGTTGGAAAAATGTCTTTCACTTCCAGATGTTTCCTTGAGTTTGTCCTAAATGGAAAGAAATGCTTTCAAAAAAATTGAGAAAGACGTCGATAATGGAAATGAACGGACTATTAATTCATGTCAAAATGTAATTAGATAAATAGGTAAGCATTAAAATATGGAACTGGCGAAACAAAACAACTGTTTATGGGGTCTGTAGGTGCTTTCTTAAACATGGATTACCCGTATTCACAAACGATGCTTGCTTAAGTGACGCAGCAAATCGAACGCACAGCGTTGAATAGAGCTCTGTGATCGGTTTGTGTGACCCTGTGAGTCCACGCGCGCTGTGAGACCTCATAGTAATGTTTGTGAATACGGGCAATCAATATCGCTTCACGACTCAGCTGTTGGCATGGATGATAAAAATGAAACATGTCTGTAAAGTGATAAAATAGGTATACTGGGTCTCTCTGTAAGTAGTTATGGACCAAAAAATATTGATTCTGCGGCTCAAATCCATCAACTTTCCCCAAGAGAACAAAGTTCAAATCTTCCAAAAACAAATTTAACCTTTTCATACAAATTGTCTTCAGTAATCATCAGCCAATTAATATAGATAGGTAGATAGATAGATAAAACGTTTATTTGCATAACAGAAACACACATTACAAACAGAAAGTACCAAAAGTAGGATAAAATAGTACCCTCAGGACAGTATGACATAGTATGGTAAGACAGAAATAAAAAGAAAAAAATCATTATGACATTCAATATAGGTACACACTTTATACAGAAATGTGTGTCGCAGCAATGCAAAACGGCAATAGCTCAGTAATTGGTTTACTTAAGGCTTGGTNTGTGCGCCGGTGAGTGGGCAATAGATAAAGTTGGGATATAGATGAAAGGTACGCTTTTTGTTTTCGGCACATTTGTGATTGATTGCGTAGTTTCTGTTAGGTTTATCGTTTCTGGTGTTTAGGGTTGCGTAAATATTTCGATTATAGGATACAATCGCTTATATTATGGCCATTGTCTCAGACAATATTTTTGAAAACTTCATCACGGATAGCAAATCTGAAGCAAAATTTTCACAAATTAAAGAAATTATTACTACGCGTTAGGTTAAATTGTACTTACCCAATAAGTGGCAGCTTTCTGATTCGTTAATCTCTTAATATTTATGTAAGTGGGTGGACAGATTTGGTATCCTGTATAATGACAATATGTATAATGAATAATGACTCTACAAAATTCTTCCTTCATTTCATTTTCTTCAAACTTTACATCATACAAGGACATAACAATATTCACTCATCGTCATGCAATTGGTAAAGAGCAAGGCCAATATAAGAGTATAGTACAATGCTTTCTACGAGTACAGGCACGTGCGCGCGCGTCCCAATTCAATACCATTTCCAATGACTAGGTCTATTGAAACTAATAACGAATTTCTTATTGAAACGTCAAGGAAGATGAAGTAGGTCGCTTTTCGTAAATTGGTCCGACATTCATCATTGATATAATGTTATTTATAGGTATTAATGTTTGTTTACAGGATTTATTTAGGATTCAGGACCACAAAACGGCTATTGACCATTTTATATAAAACATTTATTTATCTTGATGTAAATATGACAAAAATAAAATAAAATATTTTGTACAGAATACAATTGAAACAAACAGTTTATTACCTAATCAAAACCTAATTTTCTTTTATAAGTATCTCTGGCGAAATCCTATGTTTTAATTGGGTACACTTAATTACCCACCTAATATTTTGCTACCTAAGCAATTCTTGTAAATCTAATTCATTTTTAAACTCATCAACTAACGGGGTTAAATGTTAGGTCAAACGAAACGGTTCCCAGAAGTTCGCCAAGAAATCTGATCTCCTTTCAAGCTTTGCATAACGGTAACAAAAATACAAATAATTCAGTTGATCTTAAGTTCGTCATTTACAAAGGCGGCTAATGGAAGTTTCCGCCGACTTTAATGGAGACACGATAAGTCAATTGTTTATTTAAAACTTCATTTTGTCGGCAAACTCAAAGCAAAAGCCGGAAATATAAAAATTATCGGAAAAGAAAGTGACTGTGGACGGTAAAATAATGATTTTAGGTTGATTGTAATACTTAAATTGCTATCTTACCGGCTGCCATATGGTTTAGTGCGCACTAGCATCTTAATGTAAGTAAATGTCAATTTTTGGCAATCCTTTCACCAATTTCTCTTGATTACGCGTTTGGGTTTCAAGAATTGACAAGTAATGGTGTAGAGATTCGAAGTATTAGATGACTAGACATAAAGATCAGGATAATTGTAAAAAATAAACTGTATAAAATAATAATTTCTTCCATAGTGTTTCGGCCGTCCTAAAAATTGACTGTCACTTTTAACTTCATGTCTGACGATTTAATTTTAAAAGTCATGACTTAGGTACCAAAGCCACTTAATAACTTTTTCGATGGTATTCGTACAAAACAAATGAACGAAAAGAGTTCAAACAGAAAGTTTTCGGTATTGGTGGTTGCAGTGGTGCGTGATACCGGATTGGCTCTGCGCCAACTTCTGAAAGTATTTAGGCCGTTTTCAAACTCAACCCTTCTTCCCTTCTCAAACACTCAATTCTCTCAAATTGGCTGGGTTTAATTTAAACCCTTAGTTTTTACCGCAGTTACGTATGGTCTGCGCCAAGAGACTTAAGCAATTTTACTATTGAAACAGTCATTGAACTGTCTCTGTGATCTCGAAATTGTTTTACTTGAGCTCAACAAAGAATATTCTAGTATTATGCTCCTTTAGACTTGATGAGGCTAAAAAATACACCAGTTTTGATAGCGGACTGCGGACTGCCGATTTGAGTGTCAAAATCTGAGATTATTTGATTGTGGTAATCATAAGCCCTGTCTACCGCTGAACTTCTTTTTGGTGACCCCAATCCTGAATCAAATATAATTATCTTCAGCTAGATGGGTTTTGTTTTATGGATAGCGGGAATTATTAATCATCACAGATTACAAGTAGATAATCTTAAAAAAATACAATTTTAGCTTGTCATTAATTTCGTTTGCAACATTTTTAAAGTCTATAATAATATGATCCAATTGGAACACTTTGAAAGGAATGATGGTAATAAAATCCACTAAGCGTCCAATTGGTGGAATTAGTATGGGATTTTGTGTGAACTGCAATGATTAATCTGTGCGGATGATGGTGAGGCTCTAGATTTGTGGTGCGGTAGAGTCGAGGGGACAGGGTAGAAAAACTTTCAATAGTAGGTATATTAAAATTTAGATAAAGTTTAATTGACTTCACATATTATTATTTATTAAACATTTCTCACTGCTTCTATTGTGTGTGAGTAGCAATCAAGTCATTGTTAAAAATACAATACCTAACGTAATTGCCAAATCTTTTATTTCGGTTTTATGTAAAATACAGTTCATAACATGTATACGGATTGTTACAGAAAATTAGCAGCATCATTCAACATTAATTAATTTATAAAGAAAATCTTTGTGTAGTTTCCCGAACGCGCTCTCAATAAAGGACTGCATATACTACAAGAGTAAATACTACTAGTACCAGCTCCAAGCCTAACATTGCTGGCTGCTCGGTGTGTCGTGAAAAATAAATTATTCATACTGTGTTGCTGTAATCAGTCACAAGAGCCGATACTCACCCGATAGAGGGCGCTAATGTGTTCTTCTTTAGCTTATCGTACTTTTTGTGTATGACAGAGGAATTTTAATTCAGATAATTTTAACTTACATGTTTATTCTCATTTATTTGTACAATCGGTTAATTAAGTAAATAAAGAAATGGAAGAAATTAAAATCTATATAACAGGTGTTTCATTGGTGGGAAACAATTAATATTTGTTATCTAGGTAATTTAAATGTTTCTAACACACAAATTGGTTGTCCTATTAAAGGTCTACGGACTACGGACATTTTCATCATAATAAGTTTTGTAATTTAATTGGAATCCAGGCATTTCTTGTATTAAATAACTTTTATATCATTCATTTTGATGATCATCACAAACTACTATCTATTCTCACAAATAATGTAATACATAAATAAAGTTTCAAACATGAAGGCTAACATTCCCACGATATGAATAGTTCTCAATTTCACGCGAAGTCTGCCGCGCTAGTTAATAATAAATAAAGTTGTCAAACAATTGACAGTTATGTAGTACCTACTACTTGTATTTCTCTAATAGGCAATTTCCTCCAGAAGCTAGACTAGTTAAGCTAACGGCGTCCGAAGTGAGTGTCAAAATATTTAGCAAAGCAATCAATTTTCAATTTTCCAGGACATCGCATGCTAAGCTAATAACGGCATTAACCTAGTAAACTGCAAGCGACTAATCTCGATCCTTGCGAAGTTGCGAGCTAACAGCGCCGTAGTTCCGAGGATCGCCGTCGCCGCGCGTGTCGCTCCCATCGCGCGCCAGTACCGTTGGGCGCTCGTTGGGGACGGACGTACGCTCCCGCTCCGCCGACACCAAACCCTCCTCACGAAACAAGTTTCTCACTTCTGTTTCCAAAAACTACTATCAAAATACGAAACACAACCATGGACTACGGCAAACCAGTGAAAAAAACTCTCTTCCAAACAAATTCGACCAGTTAAAAAACTATTCTTGTGCTGTTTGTGATTACTTTTATCTACATCGATAGAACGCGAAGGTGTAATAAGAACGCGAGTGCGATTGTTTGTTGTTTTGAAACAAAAGGTACATTCCGTTGGAAGTTTGAATTTTCTGTTTTTTGTTTTTTATCTGAGGACGCATACGAATAGCGCGTTGAAAAGAGACAAGATGCGGTCTCACCGGGCAAGAGCGACAGGTGTGGCGGCTTTGGCGGTTCTGTTGGCAGCTATAACAGGTAACTTAGTTTTTCAACTTCTACAACTTTTAATCCATTTACTTAAAATTCTTATTGGAAAAAATCTTAGCTTGTAATAAATCATATCTTAGGAGAAACAGGTTGCAAACTTTTTATGCAAGAACAAAAACGTCCAGATAAAACTTGATAATTTTTATCATGTTGGTAGCGCATGAGTATGAGGCGCGTATGATTCATTTTGTATACTTGAAAGTGAGGTTATGTCTTATAAGTTTAATTTATTTATAGAACTGTGAAGAAAGTAAGTTAAGACTTTGTAAAAGGAATGATGTGCCATACATTATGTCTAGACTTACTCCAGGTAGTTTTAATATTTATGCTGTAGGATTCAATTTTGCATTTTATTTTGGTTCTGTTGATAAGTACGTCTGATAAGAATGAGATTGATGATAGTAGTTATTTGATAAAATTTATGAATGAATGAATCATCATCATGTTTTCTTTATTTTTATAAATAAACTCAATGATCATCATTTCTGTAGGATACAATGAACTGAGTAGTTCAAAACTTGTTTATGAAACTATAAATTAATGACACAATAAAATGTGAAAAAGAAATAATAAAATGTAAAATAAATTAATTTGTCTTGTAAGTATGAAAAGCTAAAAAGATAGGTCCACCAACTACCTACCTATCCCTTTCGGACCGCTCCAATACAATTGTGCGGGTTACAAAATCGAGATTATCTCATTAGTTTTACATCGGAAGTGGATGGGCTTAGTATCGTACGATTGTGCGGGATGCGTTCTTTCACCTCCCGTGCAAATTTTGTCCGAAGTGAAGTTAGTGAGCAGGTTACAACCTGTACAGTTCATGACTGATTGCGCTCCCCGACTTGGCGAAAGAAAATACCTACTATGGTTTTATTTTGTAATTGTAGTAATATACAAGTTATTGATTAGATAAATAGTTAAAAATAGCATCTTTTTGTGATTACAGTGACTACTTGTAAGCAAAGTCTTTGGCGTAACGGCTTAACGAACTTTACTGACACAATTGTATCGATGTGGGCCCTACAATACCTTATGCGTATTTTAAGTTTCTCATAATTATTAATTTTTCATGGTTTCCGCACCATGTTTCTGATTTTAAACGACGCTACTATCGCAGAGATGCTCAATGCATCTGGGGATGAGAGCGATGACAACGACAAAAGCTAGTTTCGACTACTTCAGATGATCTACTCCTCTTATTCTGATGAAGGTTCAGACATTCATGACGATACATACCTACCTCTGAGTATGCAAGCGGCATGGCAGACGAAGCCCTTCAATCGTCAACATCTTCCAGGAGATGCTGTTCATGATCCAGGAGATATTAAAACTCCATAGGAATATTTTGAGCGCTATATTTACTGTTGAGCTCATGGAACATATGGTTTTGCCCACAAATCAATATTAAATGGCAAATACTGGTATAAAAATTAAACCTGTTTATTCCTTACTGGTTATAAATACGTTTTTCGGAATACATGCCATTGATAAAATTTCGAAAACCCTTACAATTTTGACCCTCACAATTGTACGTAGGAAGTGAAGGGCCCAGTTTGATACAATTGTTGGTATATGAATTTTCCAAGATGGCGGCGGAAAATCTGGAAAATTATAGCAGATTCGTAATCTGCGGCCCCAAATTACCTAAAATACATGTTTAAAATTACAAATTTCTTTCTAGTTTAAGCGCGGGTCCGAAAGGGCTATACCTAATACCTATCTAAGAATTTATATTTGTTAAAGAAATACTCCACAAATTAATGAGAAAAGGCTTAAAGAATATTTAATTTTCATAGGTTATTTCTCCTCTGAAAGTGCTAAAATATTGCCTAAAACTCTATAATTAAACATTCTAGTCACGATGGACATTTCACTTAACACTTACAAACCTGAAGACAACAATCGGCACGTTTGAAAATTATGCACAATCGCACACTGCAGCGACAAGTCAAGGCCTAGTTGTGCAAAAACCGTTTTAGTCCGTTATGCACTGGGCAAGTGAGGCGACGGAAAGTACGGAAACTCGCTTTTCTGGCACAATGGTGGATTCTGCCACATTTGTTCTGGGCGCATTCGTGCGTTACTTTCTCGTCCGGACGCCAGCGAATCAATCAATCGGAAATCTGTATCCGTTCGTTTGTTTTTTTCTACGGATTCAGTGAGATCAAACAAAGGCCCGTGCGATATGCCGCTTCTAAGATCAGCTAGAGTGGTTTCGTATTTATTGCTTTATGTGACTGCAGTATAATAAATCACTATGAGATTAGATATCAACTTTACTACATCAAAAAACTTAAGAATTGGCAGTGACGTTTTTGCTAATATTTAGCTGCTATTCCTACCCAGTTGGTAGAAAAAGTCATTACAAGCTATATTTTTTCCATAAATGTTGCCTCTCTCAGATTGCTTCAGTAGAAAGAAATAAACATTTAATTTCTTATTCGACATAAAAATTGAGCGTATCTTATTCATAAAGTTTGAACGATTATATTAGTTACAGGTTACCTAAATATGACGCAACGCCTAACAGTAAAATATAATACCTATCAATTAAAATTAACAACGCTCATCATAGTTACAGTTTCACACTTACTTCTCCATTGTCGGAGCAAAATGCGGTAACATTTTTTGGGTCGCTTTCTTAATTTCATACAGTCTAACAATAGACATTGCGCGTTTTGATAGAACAGCCATTATAGCGATTTGAAGATACCGAGCTCATAATAATCCTCTGAATAGACCTCTGAATAGCACATACCAGTGAGTGAGAGACTTTCATCAATTTAATTCCATGTTGCTAAGGAATAATGTTGCTTTGAATAGCACCGCTAATCTGACGCTGAAATCCGGGATCGTATAAACTAACGCAATGAAAGATAATATTGATGTTGATGTTGCGATTCGGGAAGTTATTACAGTGATCCCACATACAGAAACGGTTATCTTCCAATCTACATCTGTACTGGATACAATTTACGCAAATACAAAGCATCTGCCGTGTCATTAACCTCGGTCATTTAAGCCTGTTAACGCTGCGGGACTGCTCTAATGGCATGTTGACGGCTCTTTCAACGGCCATGACCGCTCGTGATTATAACTAGAGACAGAATCGCACACGATAATAACACGATAGTTAAGATGACATTTCAGATACTATCCCTGAACGCAATTTCCTTGAAGGTTTCAATTTGTCTTCGTGGAATTGCTTATACCGAGAGAGTATGTTTCTATCAAGTTATCTCAAGCCTCTTCACAGTGTTTATGTAATATTATTGCGGTCTCTGAGTTATTGGTTTTGCTTTAATAAAAATAACATTGTTAGACAAAAGACAAGCCTTATGATATTGATATGAATAATGAGTCTCATAGCGAATAAATTGTTTGTGATATTTTCGCAAGCAAAAAGGGTAAATTCTTATTGAATTATCATAACTTAATACTTACTTTAAAACGTTAAGTTGTTAAGATATTTAGGCAAGCAAAAGAACTTCCTCAAGTTATTTCAGTCGATACATTCGAATACTAAAATGATTTTACTCAGTGTTGGGCACTAAAGCTTCCTGAACGTAAATAACTAGGCGGCATCGAATGCACTCTCGATTGTGCAACAGAGAAAACATTTATTACTATTAATACTGCTAGCCCGTTGGCTACCATTAGCTGCATCACAATTGTGAAAAACTGCACAATAGTGTAGTTATCTAATAGAAAAAGAGTTTAAAAACGATGTTGAAAGAAATCTAAAAGATGATAAGTAAATACAAAAGAATTTCAAAGCCATGAAACAGGTCGTGAACCACGATCGATCTAACATTCAGAAAGAAACAATTTAGTCTTTGCCTAACCATGACCTGAATTTGGCCTAGCGTCGACAATGTTATGCTAATATGAGAATATGTGGTGTGTTACAAAAACTTTACGGTAAGGGTGAAATTATTAGCATTTTCGAACGGTTTTTATGATTCTGGAATTTGAATAGAAATGGCCAAATAAATGACCGGCAATAATGATGATCCGTACGCTCATGGGATAGAGGAATATTGAAATTTTGAATATTTTGAAACGCAAACTATCATAGATGAAACATTCACACTTTATGTGGCCTATATGGGTTGGTACAGTTACAAAATAATATCCAGCAATATTTCCAACGTTTTCAACATAACACGACCGCGAAACCGTAGTTCCACATGACCCACGTCAGTCATATTACGGCGTCCACGTGATGTAGGTCACTATGATGAATCACTTCTGGTCTAACACGTTATTACGTACTGACAACGTAATCGGAAGCCACTAACTCTACCGGTTCGGTAGTTTCTTGGTGAATTATTAGTACCGGGCAAAGACCCGAGGTGGTCGGCAAATGGATGTCAATAAGTAATGACGTCACGTCTAACCCAGCTCGGATCACAATGCCGGGTCTAAATATAATCTCTATCTAGAGGTCTATTAAGGTGCAGACGATAAAGTTCTAAAACAACTTTATGCAGGTGTTAGAACATTTCCTTCTATTTTTATATGACTAGACTGTATTTCGTTCATCGAATTTTCAAATCTATGTTTTTATCATACAATATTATAAAAAGTACCTAGGTTTAGATCTTCTTTCGATTGTGTTTTGATGTTTTTTAAGTCAATACTGATTCTGGAATTAGAATTTATATTTTTCATGCATTTTTATCGTGCACCTTTAAACAGCGGTTGCATCAAAACACAATTACTCCTTTATAGAGTATCGTGCAGACTAACCCAGTTATCACTGATAACACGGTTATCTTATCAGCGGCAGGTGGTTCCCAACGTACGCGAGTTCAACGGTTTTCTTATCAGAATAACTGTTTAGCGGAATTGCTTATTCACGTGTCTTGACGCGAATTAATTCAAGTCTACTCACAGTTACTGAGTTGCACCATCTTACTTTAACTTGACAAACGACAAAAATCTGTCTAGCTCCGTACAAAAAGCACCGGTTATTGTTAATG